GGTGAGAGTTTATGGGTGTAGCTTCTGACACAATCTCATAGCAAACTCCCTGTTATTCTGGCTCTTATAGACTTTCTGCTCTATCCTCCATAATGTTTGTTTCCTGAGCTTTAGATTTAGGAATTATTTTGTAAATACATCCTTTGGGACTGGGCTCCACATCTCTGAATTTTGATTGGTTGTGATTTTCTATAATCGTCTCTGTTGTAAAGAGAAATTTCCTTGATGTGGGGTGAGGAGTAAAGACAAATAAATATTTAGAGAGTAGTTAGGAATTATGCTTGTTTGTAAATTGGTAGTTGTAGGTTCTCCTCCAAGATCCATGACTTTACTGGTCATGGGTTTCCAGTACCAGGCATGGGTGTGAAGTGCATGATGTCTTCAGCAATAGCTTCTTAACCTCCGCCTGGGTGGGGTTGGGGAACCAAGGGCAGTAGCCTGTATGTTTTGGGTGACCATTGGACAGTCCTGAACTTTTTTTTGTTGTTGTTGTGAACCCAAATGAGAAAGTTTAATTCAAATTGTATATGTGTATTTATATTTGGACTTACATGTGTTAAATTTTGTTTTTGTTTTTTTTAGGTAAAAAGTTAATAGTATGATTCCTTATGACTGCACCAGACATCCTTAGTGTTATTTTGCCCTCTTCTTCCTTCTGTATTTATATCCTCTTCCTCCTTAACTTGAGCCCTACTTTGTTACCATTTCCCTAAATGTACCCTAGTATTTTCTTTTCTGTTGTTTTCCCCCTCCCCACCCTGGCAATGGCCCCTATTTACTTTTCTGATTTTTACAGTTATTCCAGAATGTGTACTCACATCTAAAGATTTGGAGCTAAGAGCCTCTGATGAGAGAGAACATGTGGCACTTGTCTTTCTGGGTCTGGGGTACCTCAGCCAATATGATCTTTTCTAGTTCCACCCATTTACCTGCAAAATTCATGATTTCGACTGAATCAGTTTTTCAGAAACAAAATGGATTTGTGGTTTCATTTTAGGAAATAGGATTTCTGTCTTTCAAGTTAACTATTTGGGTTAAGGATGCAGCTCATTGGTGGTATACTTGCCTAGCAGTGAGTGAAGCCCTAGGACTTAATCTTTATGATGATGATGATGATGATGATGATGATGATGATGATGATATATAGTGTTCTGCCTGCATGTGTACTTGCATGCCAGAAGAGGGCACCAGATCTCATTACAGATGGTCATGAGTCACCATGTGGTTGCTGGGAATCGAACTCAGGACCTTTGGAAGAGCAGCCAGTGTCCTTAACCTCTGAGCTATCTTTCCAGGCCCCTAGACTTAATCTTTTTTTTAATATTTTATTTATTTATTATGTATCCAATCTTCTGCCTGCATGCCAGCAGAGGGCATCAGAGCTCGTTCAAGGTGGTTGTGAGCCACCATGTGGTTGCCGGGAATTGAACTCAGGACCTTTGGAAGAACAGTCAGTGCTCTTAACAGCTGAGCCATCTCTCCAGCCGCTAGACTTAAATCTTTAGCACAGAAAAACAAACAAACACACTTCCATGATTGCATGAGTGCTCACACAATGCATTATCCTACAAAAACAATACCAAACTTATTAACTACTTCTAGAAAAAAAGGTAAAATAGTGCTGAAGCAAGATGTATTTTCCCTGCTCATCTCTGTTTTCATGGGCTCCTTTCTGAGTATTAGTATTCAGACATCTGTACTGGACTGTCCTTGGGGTTCTGACAGGATGAGTCCTCAGCTGCAGCCATGAAGAGCACCACCTGTGCATATTCACAATGTTCTCTTTTAAAAGGGCCCTGCCCACCTCCCATCCTCTTCTCTCTTCTTGTTCCACATGCTCTCTCCCTTCCCCTTTCCTCTCTCTCCCCCTCTTTCCTCTCTCCTCTCTCCTGCTGCTCCTTCTCCAGAGGCAGGTCTCCTCCCTCCCTTTCCCTTTTTTATGATCCCTTTCGCTCACAAAAAACCCCTCTGCTTGAACCCTGCCTCATGACATCTTTCTCTTGAACCTGATTTTCTTAAATTACAACACTGAGTGTTTTCCTAGTAAGTTTTTTTGCCTTTAAAATTATTATATCCTTATCCTTTTTTAAAAAATGCTACTGCTCATTTTATAGTAGATTTGTTTTATTCTCATTTTGTCTCTATACATTTCCCAAAAGCTGATTTACAGAAAAATGGCAGAGTCTTATCTGTACAAGAGTCTTATACCTGCTTCTTTTTATGAACTAGCCCACTGTGCTTGCCAGTCAGTCTTGACTTGACTCATTCTCTTGGGTGGTCTGAGTATATGTATAAGCTACCATTTCTGGCTCTAGTTTATTTATTTATTTTTATTTTATTTTATACTTTTGGTTTTTCGAGACAAGGTTTCTCTGTGTAGCTTTGTAGACCAGGCTGGCCTTGAACTCACAGAGATCCACCTGCCTCTGCCTCCTGAGTGCTGGGATTAAAGGTGTGTGCTACTGCTGTCACTGCCACCACCACTGCTGGGCTCAAATTTTTTTTTGTTCTTCATCTCTGTGGTGGAAAACTTTCATTTTTGTTTTATTTTGTTTCTAGAGACAGAGTGTAACCAGTTGATAATTTTGATCTGGGACACAAGACATTTGTTGTTTTTTTTTTCTTTTTCCTTTTTTAGGAAATACTTATATATTTGCAAATTCTTTCAAGTGGCATGAATATACCCTTGTTATGAAAGAAATATAGAATTTATAAAAGATAATCAAGAATCTCATCTAAGTAAGGAAATTGCATTTATATGACTTTATATGCAGATAATTTAAAGGTATATAAAGTTGCTTTGGGTTATGGAGTTCCTTCTGGCTAGTCTGGGAAGGCCTTTTCAGATTGCTTAGCCTCTTGGCTGTATGTTAAAATAGAATGACCTGAATAGAGCTATTGTTTAATATGTGTTGGTGGTAATCTGTTGATGAATCAGCTAAGATAGAAAATTTTAAAAGGCTGCCTGTGTTGGGTGGGAAGAAGGAGACAGAAAGAAACATAAAATAAGGCTAAAGAAAGAAAATCACTTAGTAAAAGTTTGTGTGTGTCGAAGTTAGTGTGGAGTAACTGCAAAGGTTGTTGAATGAAAATAAGGATGCTTGTGCGATTATAGCTTAAAAAAGAGGAAAGAAGTTATTGAACCATGGCCAGAGGGGAACAGTTGTTAGTGATAATATGAATGGGAAATATGGGAATTCATAGCCAATTGTGTCTATAGAGTTACAGACATCCAAATATCAGTGATATGTGGAAACAGTGCTGGGGGGCGAAATAGAGTCAAAGGGGAGATACGAGGTGGAAGAAAGTTCTATTGTTGAGATGGAAGGTATGAATTGTGATAGGGTATTAAGGCAGAGATTGTCTGGCAGTTACTGAATATGTGGGAATTTGGTTTATCAAAGAGAAAATCTGAGTGCTCTCAACAAATAAATTTTGGTTATAGATATTTGGTGAACTCTTTATTAGGGATACTCTAATACAGAAGACAAGAGTTAAGGTCTGAGGGGTTTGTTGTTTGAGACAGGGTTTCTCTGGGTAGCCCTGTAGTGGGACTCACTGTAGATCATGCTGTCCTCAAACTCAGATTCAGCTGCCTCTTCCTCCCAAATACTGTGAATAAAGGTGTCTGACACCATGCCCAGCAGAGGTCCAGTATTTAATGTTTTTGGTATGTTTGAGACAAAGTCTCTAGCCCAGACTCACTTCAAATGCTCTTTGTAGTACAGAGGATAATTTTGAACTCCTGCCTCCACCTCCTGAGTGCTGGGATTACAGGTGTGTCACCAAACCTAATTTATGATGGTGCTGAGTATCAAACCCAGAGCCCTTGTGAATGCTAGGCAGTTAGTCTGCCATCTGAGTCACAACCCCAGATTTTTTTTTAAGTTCTTAGTCCTATCTAATCCTGACCAACTGTATTACAGATGCATTCTGTTGAATGTAAGAATCAACTGAGAATATTGTCTCTGTTGAGTAAACCCATTTCCCCAGTAGGGTCTTTGCTGTGTAGTCTCAAATGGCCTGGTACCTGAGCCTCCCAAATTCTGCCCATGTATAAATTAATATACATTTCAGTACTGCAAGTTAGAAATTATTAATTTGGTTTTTTGTTTGTTTTTTGGTTTTGGTTTTTGTCTGTCTATGGTGTGCATTCATATGTGTACACATGTTCTTGTGTATGGGTGCACATGTATGTTTGTGCATGTGGAGACCAGAGGCAAATATCAAGTAGGCATTTTCCTTGGTTGTTCTCGAGAGGCACAGACTTGCTTAAGACTGGAGCTTGCTCTTTTGGCTAGTCTAGTTGGCCAACTTGTTCTGTGGATGCCATGTCAGTTTTCCAAGAGCTAGGATTCCTAGTGGGCCACCATGCTTGCCTGACATTTCTGTAAATCTGAACCCTGGTCCTCATGCTTATGCAACAAATGCTTTACCCACTGAGCCATGTCCCCAGCCCCCTAGCTTGGGTTTTGTATATGAACAGAATCTTCCTGTAGGATATGTTTGGAGATTGAGAGACTGATTTGCAGCTCATATCAGAGGCAGATGAGATCTGGTGGGGCGGGGGAAGGGGGAACTGAGTTGTATTCTTCAGGAGACATGACTTTGGAAGGAATTGCTTGACAGAGATGTCACCCAAGAGATCTGTGGGTAGCCTGTAAGATAAACCCAAGGACCTTGGTATTAAGGGGAAATTGTATTAGTTATGATAACAGGCAAGAAGTATGTCAAAGTTAATGACTAAGAACTGGCTACTGAAGACTTTCTATCTGCAAACACAGTTCTAAGCACCTCCCACATGCTATCCTGCTTGTTCCTTACTACCGTGTGAAACAGGCACTGTGATGATCCATGGTGTTGATTTCAGAGAGTACTGACTGTCTCCTGCCTCTGTCCCAGCCAGAATTGCTCAGGAGACAGTCAGTGACAGCCATCTGCCATTGTAGAGAGTTGTAAATGACTAATTATTCCCTTTCTATGCTTTATTTCTATCCTAGGTCACAAAGCACTTAAAGCATTGTTAAGGTCATTGGTGGATCTTCAGGAAGAGTTGCTTTTCCAGTACCCAGACACTAGATACCTAGTAAATGGGATGAAACCCAAAACGGAGAGGTAAGGAGGAAGCAGAACCATGGCTTGCTTATTTTCTTTTCATCTGGACAGATTCCTATCCTGTATGAAAAAGAAAGCCATGTCCTTCCCAGACAGATAGATATGAAATTTAGTAATAGTTAAAGTAGAACCATTTTTTGTATTTAACTGTTGGTCAGAACAGAATGATGGATATTAGAGTGTTGGTTCTAACTTTGTTGTGCCTGCTTATCTTTGTAGCCTTAGGCAAAATACTTGCCTTCTCTTTTGGTCTATAATAATTAGTATATTAAAATCATGTTTTAGATATTAATGTTTAATGCTATGAAATATTTTTGCTCATACAATGGACTCAGTCAAAATCATCTCCTTGAGCAACTTCTGTGTTGAATCCAGTACTACAGTGAGTGTAGTTGGCTAAGTAGTAGAAGGCTATAGTATATTTTCATAGTGGTTTTCATCACATATGCAATTGTCCCTCTGTATCCAAGGGGGATTAGCTCTGAAACCTTTCATGGATACCCACATCTGCAGATGTTGAGTTCTGTGTACATCCTTCTTTGGACTTTATATCATCCCTGAATTGCTTTTAATACCAATTACACAGCGTAAATACTAAGTAGATTGCTTAGAAAGTAATGGAAAAAGTGAAACCTGCACATGCTTGGAATATCTGTGAACTTCCTCTGCTGTTTTTGATCTGTGTTTCAGGTTAGTGCTTTTTTTTTTTTCATATTCAGCTTCTCTTCATTTGGTTCAGTTAATATTAGTCACCTCTTCTTAGCAGTTGGTTATGGAAATATGTTTCTTTTATTGATTTTTGAATCACAGGAATGTGAGTATGTGTTTAATTTTTAAAGTTTTAAAGTCTCTCCTGTAACAGTATGTGCCTGCTTCATATACATTTCTAGTAATGTTTTTATGACCTTATTTCTTTTTATAATGTGTTTACCATTAAAAAAATTAAACACAGGTGCTTTTGATATTTATTTGAAAATTTCCACGAGTCTTTGATTGTCCTTGAGAACTTTAAAAAAATTTAATTTTTATTTTATGCATATAGGTGTTTTGCCTACATGTATGTCTGTGCACCATGTATATGCAATGTTTGTGGAGGTCAGAAGAGGGTGTCAGATCCTCCTGGCACTGGAATTATAGATAGTTGTGAGCCATCATGTGGGTGCTGGAGATCAAACTCAGGCTCTCTGGAAGTGTTCTTAATCACTGAACTTTCTCCCTAGCACTGTGAACATTCTTTTCAAACATACAAAAAGCCATCCTCATCTTTCTGATATAATATAATTATAGTGGATAGTATCTAAATACTTAATGTGAATCTAATCTGTTAGTTAAGTAATATTTACTTTGAACTTAATGGTCTTACTGGTTTTCTAGTGAGGAGATTTCTAGTGAAGATGATGAGCTAGTAGAAGAGAAGAAGAAGCAAAGAAAAGCCCCACCAAAGAGGAAGCTAGAGATGGAGAACTATCCCAGCTTCATGGCAAAGCGCTTTGCTGACTTTACAGTCTACAGGAACCGTACACTGCAGAAGTGGCATGATAAAACCAAACTTGCTTCTGGAAAACTGGGCAAGGTTGTGTGTGTGTGTGTGTGTGTGTGTGTGTGTGTGTGTGTGTGTGTGTGTGTGTGTGTGTGTGTGTGTGTGTTTCTACTGCTGTGAAGAGACACCATGAGCTTGGCAACTCTTATAAAGGAAAACATTTCATTGGAGCTGGCTTACAGTTTCAAAGGTTTAGTTCATTATCATCACGGTGAGACATGCAGGCAGACATGGTGCTGGAGAAGAGCTGGAAGTTTTACATCTTGATCTGCAAGTAGCAGAAGCAACTGTGTCCCTCACTGGGCATAGCTTGAGCATATGAAACCTCAAAGCCCACCCCCACAGTGACACACTTCCTCCAACAAGGCCACACCTCCAAATAGTGCCACTCCGTATAGACTAAGCATTCAAATATATGAGTCTATGGGGGCTATACCTATTCAAACCATCACAGTGTGTGTGTGTGTGTGTGTGTGTGTGTGTGTGTGTGTGTGTGTGTGTGTGTGTGTGTGTGTGTGTGTGTGTATCTGTGTGTGTGTGAGACACTGTTGCAATTGAAGCATTTGTAAGAAATAGGAAATATAGCTTATTTATGCAGTGTAATAGCAAGCAATTATTTCTGTTCTCAGATTCACTGAACTACTACTGGAATTTGTACCATTTGATTTTACTTCATAGAATGTTTTATTCTGTAAAGAAAGTCTGGTTCAGGTGATAAAGTATGAAATACTTAAATAAGCAGATTTGAAAACTTTATTAAAGAAACAGAAGAAAGTGGTGACTGCTTAAGACTAAGATTTTTCTGAGAATAGTCATAACTACTGGCATACTCAGCTTTTTACAGATAACCCACCTGCAAAGACAGCTTTCTTTCTCTGCTGACACAGAAAGAGAAGCCAGCATAGCTGCTGTTACCACTAGCCTGCATTCCCTAACACTGGTCAATGTTATTGCAGGGTTTCGGTGCCTTTGAACGCTCTATATTGACTCAGATTGATCACATTCTGATGGACAAAGAAAGATTACTTCGAAGGACTCAAACCAAGCGCTCCGTTTACCGAATTCTTGGCAAACCTGAGCCAGCCCCTGAGCCTGTAGCAGAGAGTTTGCCAGGAGAACCGGTAAGAACTCTGGGACACATAAGTTTATTGGAACAGTCTCTGGGGGCTAGTTAAATGTGGAATCAACTCTTATGAGAAGTTAATGAGAAAGGAAGCAGCACTGCTCTGTTGGATTGTTAGTAGAAGGCTTCAGAAATCTCCTGATTTTGCATTTGATAACAGGAGTTTGGTAGAAGAAATGTTTAAAATCCAGTTTTTAAGATTTAGATGGTTGTGGTTGTTTCTGTGATCTGGTGATCAAACCCAGGGTTTCCACATGCTGTGCAAACCCTCTACTACTGTCCTGCACTGCAGACCTTAAGATTTAATTTCAATGCTACTGTGTAGAAATGACAACATGGACATTTGTTTAATGTTTGCCTTAAATGATCTGAGCGTGGAATATTGAAATTCTTTTGTTTAAAAGGAAACTTTCTTTTTTGAGGGGGATATTTTTGAGACAGGTTCTATCTACATATTTCTGGCGGACCTGGAACTCACTATGTAGACCAGGCTGGCCTCTAATTCAAAAGAAATCTGACTGTTTCTGCCTCCCAAGTGCTGTTGTGTTTAAAGGCATGCACCACTACTGCCCAGCTAACCCCTGTTTTGTTTGTTTGTTTATATGTGTGAGTGTTTCACCTCCGTGTATGACTGTGCACACACTGTGAGCATCCAGTGCTTTGGAAGCCAAAAGAGGGTATTGCTGGAACTGGAGTTAACCGATGGCTATTGGCCATCATGTGGGTGCTGAACCTGGATCTTCTGTAAGAACAACAAAGTGGGTTTGTTTTGTTTTGTTTTGTTTTGTTGGTTTTTTGAGACAGGGTTTCTCTGTGACTTTGGAGGCTGTCTTGGAACTAGCTCTTGTAGACCAGGCTGGTCTCGAACTCACAAAGATCCACTTGCCTCTGTCTCCCAAGCCCTGAAATTAAAGGTGTGCACTACCACTGCCTGGCCAGCAAGTGCTCTTAACTACTGAGCCATCTCTTAAGCCCACCATATTTTAATTTTGTAGTTTATGTTTTTTTTATGTTTATAGATCTCTTTAAAACAGTGTTAATGGGCTGGAGAGATGGCTCAGTGGTTAAGAGCACTGGCTGCTCTACCTGGGTTCAATTCCCAGAACCCACATGGCAGCTCATAACTACTTATAACTCCAGTTTCAGGGGATTTGACAACATCACACAGACATATATGCAAGCAAAACATGAGCGCACATGAAATAAAAATAAATTTAAAAAATATTAGAATTACATTATTTCCCCCCTTTCCTCCTTCCAGCCCCTTCGATGCCCTCCACTCAAATTGATAGCCTCTCTTTCTTTGGTTATTTTTTTGCATATACGTGTATATGTGTACACAATTATCTAAATACAACCTGCTGAGTCTTTGTTGTTGTTTGTGTGTATATGGTTTCAGGGCTTTCCACTTCATATTGGATAACCAGTAAAGGAGCTTACCCCTGGAGAGGTTAATTTTCCCTCTCCTTGCAGCCATTTGTCTGTGGATAAGACTGAAATTTTTCCCCTTCCATGTTACACATTTTTATTTTTTAATTACCGAAAAGTTTACTCAATACTTTTTAATTTCATAGAATTAAAATTAAATGTAAACTTTTTTCTACTCTGAAAATTCCAATCATGATATTGTTTCTATAGGCTTTATGCATATGACTTATATGTAACATATATAAATTATATATTCATATTTATATATGTAGGTATACGTACTTATATATAAAGACATATATATGTATGTAAGATATACAACATATATATATATAATATATGAAAATTCTTTTCCTTTTGAAATATTTATTTTCTTTTTAGGGGTGTGTGTGTTTGTATGTGTGTGCGCGCATGAACGGGTATGTGCATGTGTGTGCAGGTCAGAGACACTGCAATTGAACTCTAATCCTCTGGAAGAGTGATACATGCACTTAACCACCAAGCCATCTCTTGCTCCCCTTTTAAATCATTAAGGGTCCCCCCCACATTTTCATTACACATACACACTATGTACTTTAAGCATATTGTCTCTTATCCCCTTCCTCCTCCCACTAAACTTTTCCTTCTTCCCAGTCTCCTCCTACTTTCATTTTCTGCTTATTTGTGAAACACTGCTTTTTTTCTTTTTCCCCAAGACAAGGTTTCTCTGTGTAATAGTCCTGGCTGTCCTGGAACTTACTTTGTAGACCAGGCTGGTCTTGAACTCACTGAAATCTGCCTGCCTCTGCCTTCAAAGTGCTGGGATTTAAGGTTTGTGCCACCGCTGCCTGACGTGGCCCACTGCTTTTAATTAGTGCCTGTATGACTATGGGTGGAAGATTATTTCTTGAGCAAGGACAATTTAGCACTGAAGAATATCACTCTCATCTCCTGAACAGTTATTAACTGCCTATAACACCTCAGGGGTTCTTTTGTAAAATTAAATCAAATTATTATTTGCATTTAAACAAATAATCAAAATGTCACAATATTTTAAAAAATTATAAATTTAAAATATACTGTATCCTAGATATTTTATCATAGCATGGAAATTTACTTTATATTTTTCTGTCTGTAAAGAATTCCATTGTAAGTTGTGTTGGGAAGTAGTGGTGCATGTGTTTAGTCTGGTCTACAGAAACCCTGTCTTGAAAAAAATAAAGAATTTCATTGTGTGACTATAAACTATAAGTTTCTAGATAGGTGTTGGTGGCACATGCCTTTAATCCCAGCACTCAGGAGGCAGAGGCAGGCAGATCTCTGAGAGTTCGAGGCCAGCCTGGTCTACAGAGCCGAGTTCCAGGACAGCCTCCAAAACAATACAGAGAAACCCTGGCTCGAAAAAACAAAAAAACAAAAACAAAAACCTTGATGTTTCTGATGTCTCCAGTTTTAGAAACAAACTATAGGAAACATTGCTAAATATTTGTTTGTATGAATGTATGGATGGATGAAATTTTAAAAGTGAAAAATGTTAAAGAAAATACATTGCATCCTGATAGATGTTGCCAAATTACCTCACAAAAGACTCCTAATAATTCCAGTCCCTCTAACTGTTTTCCAAGTCCTTGATATTGCCAGTCTGAAAGGTGAGAAATAGTATTTTCTAACTTGAATTTGTGTGGATTTCATTAAAATGAGCATAAATGTTTTCATGATTACTTATGCTTCTTTGTTCTGTCACTACCTGTTAATCTTCCCTCCTCCCATCCTTTTTGAGACCTGGTCTCCCTATAGTGCTCAGATTGTTCTTGAACTTTTTTTTCATTTAAAAAATATATATTTAAGAGTTTTTTCTGGGTTTAGTGGTCCATACGTTTAATTACAGCACTCTGCATTCAAGATCAGCCTGGTCTATAGAAGGAATTCAGGACAGCTAGAGCTATACTGAGAAGCTCTGTCTTGAAAAACCAAACATGAATGGATGGATGGATGGATGGATGGATGGATGGATGGATGGATGGATGGATGGAGTTTTTATATCTTATAAGAACTTATATCTTAAGCAGAATGTGCTTTGACCTTTAGATGTAGTACTTTGGGTAGCAAGATGGATTTGACAGAATCGCTGGGATTCATGCCCTTTTATACCCTGCTGACATAGGAGATCCCTCCTCAAGTTCCTGCCAATGCTCACCTGAAGGACTTGGATGAAGAAATATTTGATGATGATGATTTCTACCACCAGGTATGAATTTTACACATTCTTCTTTTGTTAAAACAAGCCAAGATTTTAAATCTTAAGTCCACTGATAGCATTCTTTGAATAAAAAGGTGGCTTATTTTGGAGTCAAAAAGGAGGTAGAAATCCTTGTAATCTGGATTGACTTAGACGGTGTCATTGTGGATTATTGGTTTTGCATTTTCCTTTTGAGGTGAAAACAGTTGCAGCTATTTAGTGACACTGCTCTGGTCTAAGTTGTCTGTAAAACAGTTTAAACTTCTTTGTGTCAATTATTCTTTTTCTTCTGCTGGGTGCTTCTTGTTTATTTTGTTTTCAGTTTTTGAGAAAGGGTCTCATTGTGTACCAGCAGCCTAAGGCAGCTTCGGACTGGCATCCCTCCTTCAGTCTCCTGAGTGATAGAATCGCATGTGTACTACCACACTAGTTCAGTCTAACTTTGTTCTCCCGCTCCAGGTACTAGGCATCAAGCCTAGAGCCTTGTATGTGCTAGGCAAACTCAGGCTTGTACATGCTAGACAAGAACTGGGATCTTAGAGTTCTTGAGTTGCATTTCTGGTTCTATAACCTAATTCAGTCTTTTTTTTTATTGTGATTTATTTTAAAAATATTTATTTATTTTTATTTTCCTCTTTGTATGTCTTGGGGTATGCTTTGTTCCCAAGGAGGCCAGAAGAGAGAATATCAGATCCCTTGAAACTGGAGTTATAGACAGTTATCATGGGTGCTGGGAATTTATTCCTGCTCCTTTGCAAGAGCAGTAAATGCTGTTAACCACTGAGCCACCTCTAGCCCCTTCATTGAATATTTTTGTTGTATATTTTAATCAGCCTCGTGTATATTAAAATGTAAGCTACTGTTGATTTTTCCATTTGTCTGTCTAATACTCTAAAAGAGATAATTGGTAAAAAATTGATGTATGGTCCAGTTTTCAAGTTTTTATTTTCTTGTTGTAATTGTTTGTTTGTTTTGGCTTTTTTGAGAAAGCATCTCACTGTGTTAGCCTTTATCTTGCAGTTTGTCTGCTTTTACTTCCCATGTGCTAAGTGAGACACTGGGGTGTGCCAGTGCTTGTATCTTCAGGAGAGTTCCCCCAATTTTCCTGACAATGTTAGTAACCCTGGTGCTTGGTTAGAGGAACTAAATGTTTGAGATAGTCTAAAAGGCTACAGTAACTTTATATTTGACTCTCTTGATAAATTGTATTATTAATGAAATGTGGTTTTTTGCCCAGTGGAAATGCTCCTCACCAGTGATGGTTTTTATCTATCTATCTATCTATCTATCTATCTATCTATCTATCTATCTACTTATTTATTTAGAGTGTTATTTGTGTGTTTCTGTACACTTACAATGTGCATTTAGTGTCCATGTCTAGAAGAGGGTATTGGATCCCATGGAACTAGAGTTACAGGTGGTTGTGAGGTGCCTGATGTAGGTGCTAGGAATCAAACCACAGTTTGCTGCAAAAGCAGCAACTGCTCTTACTGTGCTGAGCCATCTCTCTAGCCCATCATTTTTAGTACTTGATAAAATTATTGCCCTAAGTGAGTGTGAAAAGTATATTGAGGATAAAGGATCGAGAGTACTGGCCTCAGCTGCTCCAGTCAAGGGTCTGGATTTTTTTCCTTTTCTCTTCTTCTTAAACCCATTTATCAGAAGGACAGGAAACGTTCTGGAGAGTCTTGATACAGGACATTAATGCTTTCTAATTGTGTGAGATCAGGAGAGACAATCAAAAATGTTCTAGTCCTCATTAATTGAAGTGACATTGCTGGAATAAAAGTTCATCATGAATTAAATAGTCTGAGGAAGGTAAACTGAACTTGCTGAAGTTATATACAGAAGCCGATTCCACTGGCAAAATCATAGAGTCTTGAAAATTATTTTCCTCCTTATTTCTTTGTCTTCCCTTATTTTTATTTCTTTATTTATTTTAATTCTGTTGAAGAAATAGCATTACTTGATTGGTCCTTCATCCTAATTAATAATTTTAACTTTAATAAATTCTGATTTCGGAGTTATGACTAGCCACATCTTAGCTTTTCCCCTTGCTGGTTAATTGGGGTGCTGAGGTTAATCTAAATTAAAACTTAAACTAATAGAGGTCAGTAAGGCAGCTGAAACACCTGAGTGAAACAAATGGGGCTGCCAGGCACAACTTTATCTTGGCTGTTTCCCAAGAGGGAAGTGGCAGCAAATTGGAGTTGTTTCAGCCTTCTGTAAAGGTGAATGATGGGTGACACTTGTTAATGTACAGCGTCTCCGGAAACACTCCAGATTGCTTTGCTTCTGTACCAACTGCTGCCATCCTTGCACACTCGGTAGGAACTGGACCAGTTGCCAACATCTGGTGGCACAGCGAGGCACGGGTGCAAGTCTTGAAGCCCCACAGATTCTAAATATGGTGCTTAGAACTGTGCAAGCTTTAATCACTTACCCCTCTTTGGCAGCAGGCTACGACAGCTTATCCTAGCCTCGTACATCACACCCTGACATCTGCTGAGCCGCCAGGCAGCTGCACATTCATTTTCTTTTCTTGCCCTTTCTCATTTCTTCTTATTTCTCTTCTACTCACTGCCCCTTTACTCCCCTGATCTCCTCCCTTCTGTTTTCCTCCCCCTCCCCAATATGCTGCTTGGAAGAGATGATCTGTAAAGATTACTGCTTCATTGTGTGCAAGTAATTGTGGTTGGTGATGCCAGGCCCTTGACAGACACAGCGTAGCACCTGTTCTGCTGACCTGGTTAATTTCTTCTGTTGAGTGGGATTTACCAGAGATTGGAACTGAAGCCAATTCAGTGATAAAGGCTAAAGAAAATGGCTGTATGTTTTCTGTCACCTCCCAATTAAATTGGCTTCATAAAGTCCTTTCCTTATTTGTCAGGGTAGTGAGCCTGAGCTAAGTGTTGCATTCAGAAGGGGTACAATGTGTTACAATAGGCCCGTGAGTTTCTTTTATTTTTTTTTTCTCTTTTGTCTTTTTAAAATATGGTCATGTGGATGAGGTAGATGGTGACTATAATCACCCCTCCCCACACACCTTTTTTAACATACTTTAGGCTAAACTCTTTGGGTCCATGTTTTGTAAGGAAGAGATTATAGCCACATTGAATTTTAATGTTCCATTGTGAGGATTTAAAGGCTTACTTAGTTAATTCAGGTATTATGAGACTGTGTAAGTGCCCTAACTACTGAAGATGATGTATAGGGTCAGCTTGCCCCCTCCCCCAACCTGCTTACACCTTCACTTCTGCTTCCACTCTGTTTCTTAGTGGTCATTGAACTTTAAAAGCATGCCTACTTATTTAACAATAGTGGTACAGGTATAAACACACATACACACACGCACACACACACACACTTATACACTCATGTGTATTTATACATACAAGAATGAGTGAAGTGAGGGGTTTCATAAATCATTTATTGATTCGTCTGTCCTTCTGTCTGTCTGTCTGTCTACCTATCTACTTTCCTATCTAATCTGAGGCAGGGTCTCTTTATGTAGTCCTGGCTATCTTGAGCTCACTCTATAGGCCAAGCTGGCCTGAAGTTCAGAGAGATCCTCCTTCCTCTGCCTCCTAACTTCTAGGACATGCTTCCCCATGACAGATTAATTTTTATTTAATTGCTTTTTAAAATGACTTTTTAGAAAGTGTTGTATTTGTATTAATTATTTTTCTGTGTTGCCGTGATAGAACACTGAGTGAACTGAAAGCATCTTATAGAAGAAAGTATTTATTTGGGTTTCTGGTCCCAGAGAGGAAGTCCATTATGTAAAGGAAGCATGTCAGCAGGCAGGCTAAGCAGGAAACTGAGCATTCACATCCTTAATTTCAAGCATGGAGTAGAGCAAACTATGATGTACTCCTGTTAACAATGCTACACCTGAAACCTCACGAAATCAAATGCTTAAATGTCCAAGCCTTTGGGGGAGCTACCACAATACTAATTTATTATTAGTATGTGTGTGCTTATGTACTACAAGCATGTATATAGACAACTTGCAGGAGTCAGTTTTCTCTCCCTTGTGAGTACTAGGGATAGAACTCAGGTAGTTAAGTTTTATATCAAGTGCCCTTACCTAACACTGACACATTTCACTGGCTCTGATCATCTTTTTTTTGAGACAGTCTCACTGTGTAGCCCAGCCTGGAACTCTTAGTCCTCCTATCTCAGCTTCATCAGTGGTTAGATCGTTTACATTTTTATTGCAATTGTTTACTTATTTATTTTGTATCTGTGTGTAGGTTTTGTGTGAGTGTGTATGCATGGTGCACATGTGGAGGTCAGAGGACAAGTCACAGGAGCCAGTTCTCTCTTCCCACCATGGGGATCCCAGAGATCAACTTCAGATCATTAAACTTGGCTTGGTGGCATACACCTTTACTTCCGGAACCGTCTTGCTTGCTTGTTTGTTTGTTTATTTGTGTGTATGAGTGAGTGTACACACACATAGGTGACTAAGTACAGGTTTGTACATGTGAACTCACGTTGTTGGGCTTGGTAGCAAGCGCCTTCACCACCCAGCCATCTTGCCAGCTCCTGGTCTTAGCAGTTTTAGAGCTGAAAGACTTAGAAATAGAGTTTTAAAACTTAAGTAACCTCCTTAAAAAAAAAAAAAACCACACAGCGAATGGAAACAATCTCCAGGTTGCCTAGACCAAATTTTGTTCTTTTGATGTATCTTTATTTCTTAAATATTTCATTCTTGAGCCATAAAAAAATTATAGCTTTACGGCTTTCAGTTTGTAAATAAATAAGCTTCATTTTTTTTTTAGGCCTGGAAGAAATATTATATTGTTAGAAAGTAAATTTTTGTTTTTTAAAAGGCAAATGATTTATTGAACTCCTGTTACTTAACAATTCTAATGAAAAAAATTAGCTTTATAGTTTTGATACTGGTTTGTGTGGGAGCTGGATTGCTGAAGGTGTGGTGTAGCTAACAAGAGGGCTTTATGAAAGGTGAGTCCCTGCTGCAGGAAAGCAGTATATGTTTCACT